CCTGGCCGTGAAATCCTCCAGGGACGGGGCATCCACACGCTCCCTGGGCAGCCTGAACCAGGGCTTCACCACCCTCCTGGGGAAGAATTTCTTCCCTATATCTAATCTAAATCTCCCCTCTTGCAGTTTCAGGCCGTTGCCCCTTCTCCTATCACCACAGGCTCTTGTAAAAAGCCCTTCTCCAGCTTTCCTGTCGCCCCTTCCATGAGCCGGCAGGTGCTCTTAGGTCCCCCCGGAGCCTTCTCCTCTCTAAGCTGAACAGCCCCAGCTCCCTCAGCCTGTCCTCACAGGGAGCTGCTCCAGCCCTCTGAGCATCTTCGTGGCCTCCTCAGGACCCGCTCCAGCAGATCCGTGTCCTTGTACCGTGGGCTCCAGAGCTGGACACCGCGCTCCAGGCGGGGCCTCAGCAGAGCGGAGCAGAGGGGCAGAATCCCCTCCCTCGCCCTGCTGCTCACACTGCTTGGGATGCAGCCCAGGGAAATTCCCCTGTCTCCAACCCGGGACCCTGGGGAGCATGAGGTTCACAATCAACCTTGCAAACAAAGGCCCCTTAATGCTTTGACAGCTGGAATACTTGTTAGCGTACACAATAGTTTTTGGTTGGTTCTTTTTTTTTTTTTTTTTAAAGGAAACGTCCTAATGACAAGCATCTGCTCTTCGTTTTTTGTCTTCAAATTCATCATTTGACCTACAGTTACCTTACAAATTTTCATAAGTAGCAAATAAGTACAAATCTTTATGCATCTTCCCATGAGCCGTTTTTTTGTCCTAAATTAAGCTATCCAGCAATATATTGTAGTTGGCAAAAAAAAACACTACATGCACAATGCATACAAATCAAACACTAGGTCTGTAAAATAAGCTTTAAGTAAAAAAAAAAAAAAAAAGAAACAAAATAAACAAACATGGTTAGTGCAAAGTCCTGAAACTCATGACATGATCACAGACTAAAGTACAGAAAAGATGGGACTGATTCAGGCAGATTAATTTGCTTTTGCCAACAATCCTCCCCATTCAAAAACACACACACAAAAAAAATTACTTGTCTTTTTCAAGTAAAAGTGCAAAAGCTACAAGAGACAATGAGAATGAATTTACAAATAAAATATAGGATTATGGGAAAAGAAAAGCATGACCGCAATTAAGGAAAAGCTACTGGTTCCTACTTACAAGATTTATAAGAAAGAAGAATTTGGATAAAAGATGCTGCAAGATAATAGAAATAAAATGGAAACAAATCAAAGGACAGCAGTAGTTATAAAATACTTTTAAGATGGTGAAATTGTAATATAGGTTAAGAAGCTTTGAGCTTTTCTAAAAAATAGATTAAAAGCTTTATGATACAGCAAGCTCATTAAACACATAGGAAATTGGCATTCAGGTCCAAAATTATGGTTTTGAAAGTACCATGCAAAACAATGAACAGAAAGTTACAAAATCCCAGCAAGATTGAGAGCAGTTCACAGCACTGCACATCCCTGCTTTAAACGGGTGCATTAACCCTTCCCAGCTCGGGCCCTCTCCCTG